TCCTATTCAATATACACAACATCTTCTCTATATTCTTGCTCGTCATTTTGAGTTAAATTTGTTGGACAACCACCACACACAACCTTATGTGTTTGGTCTTCTTCACTGTCACTATCTCGTGCTCCCTCTCATCATTAGCCCTCTTGGTATATTTTTTCATTCAAACCTCCAACGTCCTTCTCAATGTGCGTTTCTTCAAAAATTGGTAGATGTAAGGGGAAATTTCGATTAAGTCAACATTGTATAACCAATGTTTAATAAAGATGCCACATTGTTTAAAACTTGTCGCCATATAAATTAAATCTAAGGTTGATTCATCCTTGAAGAGCTTGTGTAAAGTCTCCATAGGGTCCTTGAATTTCTAACAACATTATATTGGTGAATGAAGGTTGGTAACCTTGATTTGTGTCAATACATTTATCACAAAAAATTGTACATTATGCTTAGAAAATGATACCTAAGTTTTCAAGTGACTTTAATAACCCTACTCCTTTAAACTTCCGCTAATTACTTCACTTTTTTGAGCACTTCCATGACCGTTACTTCATTTATGAAGAGAAGCAATGGTTATTATATCTGTTTCACATTTCATGGGTGAATTACTTATATTAACACATACTTATTTTTAAGATAAGAAATTCATGACATCCATTTAGATAAGAAAGGTGTGAACTCTAAATAATTTACTGTAGAGGATCATTTTAGAGCTATTTTTTCGTATAATTTTGTCTTTATTTTATTAATATGATATATATTAAATATTTTTCCATAAATTAGCATAATCAGCCGAATCAACATGAATTTCATAATTTTCAGAAGAATCAATTGATTCAGCCAATTTCATTATTATCAAACAGACTCGGAATTCATTTATATGTAAAATAATGCTGCACAAACAGTGTTCAAAACATCTTATGTCTTCCTTACACCAACAATTGTATATTTTGTATATCACGATGCATCACATGCAATTTTTTAAAAATGGGCCTATGTGTGAATTTAATCCTTATATTTATTTTTCTTTATCGATCACACACGTTTACTGTTTGGATAATAATATAGTAATGACCAAAAACTAAGAGAGCCATTTTCAACAGATTTGGATGAATATGATAAAGAGAACTATTAAATATGTTTTACATAATTATTTTCAAAAATTTATTAGTATAAAATATTTAAAAATACACATATTTTTCTATTAGGAAATACTCCCTCCGTCTCAGGGTTCCCGATTCACTTTACGATACTTAACTAATGATAAAGTAACTTGATCCATGTTCATACTCTGATCATTTTTAGTAAATAAGATTTACATATTCAGAAACTACATTAAAATCGCTACAAATAAAAGTCTGATAAAAAAATAAAAATCGATGAAAATTTGATGTATAAAGCAAAAAAGTAAAAATGATTTCAGTTGACTATGTGAATAGTAATTTGAAGCCTTTGAATGGAATGGAGGTAATACAATTTTGTTATAATTCAACAAATCCAATCAATTAATTAATTGGTTAAGATATAATTTCACACATATACATTTAATTCGACTCATAAAAAAAAATCGACTCATAAAATGTTGGGATAATGTTTTCAAGATAGATTTGATGGATTTTAAAAGAACTAAAGTGATACACGAAATTACGAATTTCTAATTTTTTCTATAAAAAAAGTATACTGATTTTTTTTATCATGAAGCAAATACATATTTACATGATAATATAAACCTTTTTACTATAATGAATATTTCTCCTCAAATATATATGAAAAATTCTTTGTACCAGTCAGACAAAAATCTCCCCTTGTCTACGCCTCCACTCATATATCACGGATGTTAAGATGCCCAACAATACTATTTTTGGAGTATTTATGAATTAACTTTTTTTTAGTTTGGAAATCATCAAACAACTATTGGCTCATGATCCACGTAAACAGAGGTGGTCAATAATACTACTTTTTATTTTATTTCATTTAAAAAAAAAGTGTGAATACAACTATTTCATAGAATTCTCTAATAATTTATGACTTCTCCGATTTGGGCATGAGTTATCGTGCCTTGCACGATCAATCGCTAGTCTTAAAATAGAGCCCATTGATATTCCCATAAGTAATACACTTCAAAACTTTGACATAAGTAGCAAATTAAACATGGACCATTGTGTATACAATCTACTACACTGTCCTTGTACACACACTTAGGGAGTGTAAACAAAATTTCCTCCATGATGAATTATAATTTCAACTCGTTCACGCATCCTGTTAGTAAATTACATGAGTATTTTAAGTCTGTGATACAAAGTATGAATGCTAAAACAAAATGAAGTAATAATAATTTAAATCACATGTGTACGACGACAAATGCAAGGCTAGTTGAAGTAATACCGTTAAAGTGCAGACGAAAATTCCACTTTCATATTCTCCGGGTCTCCGTTTGTTTTGCTCTTACACGCATCGTCTACCATCATTCTACAAGCTCTAGTCCTTGATCAATACAAATCACAATTTAGGGTTGAATTGGAATTGAGAAATAATAAATTGTTAATCTATTAGACTTGATAATCGTTAGTCAATGTTAATGATTATAACACCAATATTCAATTCAGCTGCTAATGAGTCATTAAACGCGCTTAAAAGAGGATTTGCGACTTTTAAATGTGTTGATGAGATTGATTGAGTGTCCTTTCAATTGGGGTTGATTGTTTTTTAAATAGTAAGACCTTTTTGCCACAAATAGATGAGGAGGTAGCACCACTTGAAATAAAGCACAAAGTAATTCCTTCGTTCTTGAATAAACTTTCAATTTTTTTGGGTGTTCCAAAATAATTAAGCGTTCACTCTCCTTTTTTGGTAAAGAATTTGTGATTCACAATAATTATTACACATTTCTTTCTCCTCTGCATAACTCTCAATCACACAATAGTCACTACTTGTGTTTCTTATTATGTAAGAAAAATTTGGGAGGGTGTAGTCGAACTAGGGATGGACAGGGATGGGTTGGCCCGACCCGGTCCTCTTTAAGCCCGGAGCCCGGCCTGATGTCTATAATGGCGGGCTTCAGGCTCGTTTTTAGCCAAACTCGGTTTCGGGCCCGATTATATATTTTTTAATTTATTGCCCATGCCCGTCCCGACCCGATCCAGACCCGATATTGTATAGGCCTGACCCGATCCAAGTAGAAACCTCGGCCGATACCAAGCTTGAACTTTTTTAGTCCCCGTCCCGCCAGGTCCCGGCCAAGCTCGATCCCGTCCATATCCGCCATCCTTGGTGGACGACGCCTCTGACCTAGAGCCGCTGTTGCTGGCGGAGGTGCGGTGGTTGTATTCCATGCTACCGATTGCTATTCTTTCATCAATTATAAATAGTTGACCTGATTTTTAGCATATCTGTACGCAATCTTCCTAATTTAATCTTGGAATCTTAGAGCATCTCCAATGCTATAATGTGCACGGTGCACATGTGGCATGATTGATAGCCACATAAATATTAGCAAATAAATTATCTCTCTCCTTATTTGAATGATTTTATACAATTTTGGTAAGTTTTTCCCTGCAATGTCAACAACAATGTCAACATCTAGACGGTCTCCTTGACATTGTGAATAAAAACTTATCAATACTGTATAAAATCATTTAAATAAGGAGAGAAAGAATTTATTTACTGATATTTATGTGGCTATCTCTGATGTCACGTGTGCACCGTGCACGTCGTATACTCTTAGGGTATGTTTGGTTCAAGGAATGTCAGATTATCATGAGAATGTTAGATTACTGGGTATGTTAGATAGATGAGAATGTGATTAATGTATAGCCCATTTGTGTTTGGTTACGCTTATGGGAATGTTACATTAAGTTGTTTGGTTGAATGATATCTTATATTACATATTTGGTGAATTACTTAAAATGCCCTTTAAATATTTGTTTCTTAACACATTAAACTTATCAATTATTTAATGAGTTTCATTCACAATATGCCAATATGGAAACGTAACTCCTCCTCAGACACGAACATCTTCGTTTAAAGAAAAATCATTTTTGAAATCCCAACAACAGGTATCTCTATTGTTGAACAAAGCTCGGTTAAGGAGCTTTCTATGTATCTAACATTTCTTGTTAATTATGAAAACAATAATGACTTTGACATTCTAAAGTGATGGAAGGATAAAAGAAAGAACGTTCCCGATTTTATCAAAGATGGCTAAGCAAGTGCTATCAATGTCAGTTTCAACAGTTGTTGCAGTACAAGAATTTAGTGCGGCCGACAACGAGCTAACGGATTATAGAACGAGATTGAATGCAAACTCTCTTAAGATGCTTGTTTGCTACCACGATTGGTTGAAGGCCTAACGTAGAACTCAAGAACTTAGCATCACCTCCACCCAACACTTTTATGGAGGAAACAACAACCGACGGTGGCGGAGATTCCGATTGATTATTATTTATTAGAAAATGATTTCATGTTTTAATTTTTTTCTCAATTCTCAATTGTAGACTATAGTTCATGTTTCAAATAAATATACTTTAATTGTTTTTATATGTAGCACTTCTTGAATTAATTTTTAAACATGAATTATAAAATGTACCCGACCCGGCCCCGGGTAGACCGGCCCGAATCCGTACCAGTCAATAGCCGGCCGATCCCGGGCTACATTCCCAAAAAGCCAAGCCCGGCCGGGCCCAACCCGGAACCAGAACAGGTTCGGGCCCGGTCCACCCCTAGATATGTCGATTAATGAAACATGAGTTTTTTCGGAAGAAAATTAATAAGCCACCAGGAATCTTACAAAACCTAAGGCATTGGTGGGTTTTACATGCCTGGTAATGTGATCACCTTTTCCACTTTTGGGAATGTAACATTCCCAAAAAAAAAATCAAACCCGCGAACCAAACACATATATCTCACATTCCGGGCATGAAATTCCCCCTCCATAGAAACCAAACACTGCCTTAGAATAAACTATCGATAGGTACTCAGATGTAGGGCCCTAGTCACTCAGATGTCATCCCGATTCCGGACCAATCAAAATGTAGGAAAAGCGCAAATTGACGTGGTGAGACTTTCAGAAGAGGAACGATGAAGCAGGCAAAGTCAGTCGTCTTGGAAGCCAAGTTGACATTAACTATGAAATCTCTGCGCGCGCCAAATCGCTATTCACACCAGAATTTTCTTGCACGTTACTCAATAATAATCCATCCATATTACGGAGTAAAAAAAGACGAATTCGTTTCAATTGTAAATCCAATCGCAGAGTTTCAACTTTAAACGGAAGAGCAGAGGTGTTATGGCTACGCCGTCGATGTTTACCGGCGAGAGAGCCGTGCTGGTGATCTTCGTGGCTCGGATCATCTATTTGGCCCCGCTTTCTATCCTCTACGAATCTATCTCTCTTGCTATCCTCTCTATCCTCGCCATCTCTGTCGAGATATCTGCCGACAACCACTCCAGTCTTCTATCCCAATTATTCAAAACCAGGTAAGAAAATGGAAAAAAGGGAACTGTCTCAAATGAAATTCTTCTCGAACAATTGCGATTTTGTTGTTGTTACCGACGGGTTTATTTTCCCTGGTTTTTGTTATGAAAACATGAATTTAGACAAACTGGGTAAGCATGCTGAATTGGTAATTTAGTTCACTGATATATAACAAAAAGATAGTTCTTTTTATCTTACTTCACAAATCAGAAGTCGAGCGAATCACTGAAATTTACTGTGTTGATAATGGTGGATAAAATCGAGCTAACTGAAATATATGGCGAAGTAGTACTTTTATCTTCTTGTGTGAAATTTAGACCTACTTTGTCTGTGTGTGTGTGTGTGTTAGTTGAATTGAAAAAAGAATTTTAACAAACCACGGTTTACCATTTCTGAAATTTCGGGCATTTTGTTGTGGTTAGGCCTGGAGCCTCATCAGGAATATTTCTGGGGGCAGTAACACTGCCTGGGCTTATGGTTTCAAAGTTGATTCAATTGTCAAGAGCTCTGCCATTAGGAGAAGTTGGAGTTGAAGGTAGTAATCTAACTGCATGCCTAGTTGGTTTTTACTGATAGTTAAGGGTCCTTAGTCCTTGGATGTCATGTCCATCTTATTCTCTCTTCACCAAGCTCTTACACATAACCAATAAAAGTGGTCACATATATACTGTAAACTTGTTAGAAATGGAGTGTGTGTAACTATGGTTACTTATAAAGTTATAATATTTCTCGTATATGTTTTTCACAGAGCTGGAATATCTTCAAGTACAGTACTGGGTCACCTCTGCTATTTGCTTCAGTGTGCTTGTTTTCCTCTTTCTTGTCCTTTTCCGTCAACCATGCTGCAGCCATTATATCAGTTCTTCATGGATCATAAGCTGCATATGTTTTTACATAGGAATATGCTGTTTCTGTTGTTATCAGCCATCCCATGGAGGTATTTTTCAATCACCAGAGTGGTTTTCCTCTGAACTAGCAGAGTTTTAAGACACTCTTTTTAACTGTTTTCCGTCATTCTATTCCTATAGCTCAACAAATTGAAAATCTGATACTCTCAGTTCTGATGTTTATGAATATTTATCTTATGTAGGGTGGAATGCTGCATTTTTGTTGTTATGGCTCTCTTTTCATGGTCTAGCAGCTGTAAAACTAATTATGCATATCCTCAAAACTTTTCCGGCATGCGCTTCCATTGGTAGATCTATGCTCTATATTACATTTTCCGCGTATCATCTCATGTTGGTGGCTCCTTTTAACCCATTTCATGTTATTTGGTTGTCATCAAATATTTCATGTAAATTTTGCAATGAGTATATATTTCATAACTCAAATGCACCAAGGGCCATATGTAGTTGCTTGATTTTTTTTTTTTGGCATTAACTTATCATAATACCAGTATTAGATAGGGATAGCTATAGATGGCGAGTGGGAGACGGGTCTGCTTTTAAGGTCTGGGATGACCCGTGGTTACCCGGGGATCACAATCCCAGAATCATTTCAGAGCGTGTTCATGGCTTGGAAAATATTTCAGTGGCTGGGTTATTAAATGATAATCTAGAAGACTGGGATGGAGACATACTTGGAGATCTCTTTCAACACAGGGACATGTCATTAATCAAAAGTATTCCGATAAGCAAAAGAAGGGTACCCGATAAGAAGATCTGGTGTTGGGAGCAGGATGGTCGGTTCTCTGTTCGTAGCTGTTACCAAAGGCTCGTTGGTGAGGTGGCTCAAGTCAAATGGTTGGGCTAGATGGTGATGTGGAATTATCATCTTCCTCCCAAAATTAAAACTCTTTTGTGGCAAGTTTGTACTGGTTGTCTGCCAAGCTCGGAAAATTTGAGGAGGAAGGTTGACTGTCCGGAGAAATGTGGTCTTTGTGGTGGAGAAGATGAATCGCTGTGTCAGAGACCTCCAGAGTATTCAGAACAATTACAGAAAATCTATCAAGAAACAAAGTAATCTTTATTGAAGAAGATGAACAGTAATCAGTACAAAGGCCGAAGCCCCCAAAGCCGAAGCCCCAAAAGATCGAGATGTTCAGTCTCGTATCCTTCCCAGTCCCAAGACCAAATGTCTAAAAGCCTCCCAATTACTCCCACTTTACATCTATTTATACTAGAGACCCTTATTACTAATATTATTATTATTATTATTATTATTACTTCTAATATTATTCTAATAGGTAGGTCCCTATCAATACTCCCCCCCTAAACATCCACCTTGCCCTCAAGGTGGGTGATAGGAAACCGCTATGATCTTCCACTTCCTCTTCTTTCTTGCGCCTCTTCCTTCCCAATACTTGATTGGTTGATGGCTTTGTAGCTTCAGTACTTGAACTTTCCAGCTCACATATGTTTCTGCAGACTTCAGATTTTCCATATCCATAGATGTTTTCATGCTTTCCTGAGCTATAACACTTACAACAGTAGCTGAATTGGTGTTCATGTCCTGAACCTCCACTTTAATTTGCTTATCAGAATTGTGATTGACCTTCATAATGCTTTTCAGCAATACAATGCCATCCATTGCTGTACTTTGAGTACACCTAACAGCATTCCACCAAACAGCTCCCAAAGGCATATTCCATCTAGATCTTTCTACCACTGCTTGTTCCTCAAAAGGAGAATCCATTTTTACCTGATTTCTTGAAACAAAGAGTGGAAAAACCCAAACTATCTTCAAAATTGCACCATCTTTGCAGGTATGAAACAACACAGAAACAAAGCAACACTTTGTGGATGAGAATACAAAATCAGTTTCTTCTTCACCAAGTACATCAGCCATAATTCTTTGGTTCCATCGTTGCCTGTCCGATGAAGGCAGTCCACTTTGTCTAAAAGAAATCCAATCTTTGCTGTTGTTATTCAGGTTGGAGAAATCATAGAGCCAAGAATCCCAATTGATGTAGCAGCATTCTTTGCGAGTTTTCCAAACAAAAGCTTCTATGAAGATAAAAGAGTAACCCTTCATTTTCCTTGGTATTCTTCTGACCATAGCTGTAAGGAACAGGACAATACTCCTATATTCTTTGCAAGGCTTTAGGTTCTGCTCCTCTAGATTATCACAACATCCTATGATAAAAGATAACTTTGCAGCAGTTAAAGCAGACACTCTCCGGTCATCATTTAGCTGCTGAAGGAAATAGTTTGACCAAAATGAGGTTATAGAAACTCTTTCCTCAGTTCCAACCATACTAGATTCATCATCTATGTCTGCTGAATTCCTAGAAAGTTCAGTTTTGAGTTGAGCTTTGACACCCTGGACTCTTATCCCCTTTTCACCCGTAATAACTTGATCCTGGCTGTCAGAATCAACAACATACTTCTCCATAGACACATAATTCACCAAGTCTTTTTGAATATTTTTCATAGAAATAACCCCTTCCCATCTAGGAATATCAAACATGTTTTATCCTTCCAATGTAATATCTAATGACTGACAATACATTCTTTCAGTCTTGAAGACATTTGGCCAGTTCATCTGCTGTACAATATGAGAAGAAATATCACCTTCCTGAAGAAGCTTGAACCTATCGATTTCAAGGTCTGACTGGTCCAGATCGTTCTTGGGAATTATCTTACGTCTGGGGAATCTGTTACAATCCAGGAATTCCCATAGAAATGGAGAAGAGAATTCGAGAATTGAACTCACACAAGAACTGAGAATTTAGAGGATAGAGATGAAAGGGATGCGGAAGTATTGTTTATTCGAGAAAAATGCCTGTCTTTACAATCTCCATTCAATGGCTATATATGCTGTAGCTAATTAACAACTTGTTCAACTAACTAAACAGATGTATAATATTGGCTAACTAACTCCTCAACCGAATACAACTGTATCAGAATCCAACAACTGCTCCATCTTCAGGTTGAAGATTAACGGATGGTTTATCATTGCGTTCCTCTTCTCCATCGGTGTGCTGCTGAATAGCCAACTCCTGCTGCGACTCTCGAAACTCATATAGAGATTTCAAACTAGGGTTTTCTACTCAAATTGAAGCCAGAGGACCGTAAGAAGTATCTTGTGACTGCGACGGACCTTTGTTTTTCGAATTCGTGCAGCGACGTACAGTCCTCGACCTTCCTCGCCGACGATGTTGCCGCAGCTTGGGCTTCTTCTCCAGGTTTGAAGGCTTTTCCTTCTCCACTTTTTCGCTCTTTTCTTTCTCCACTTTTTGGCGCTTCTCTTTCTTCACTTTTTTGCGTTTCTCTTTCTCCACTTTTTTGCGCTCATTCTTTTCTGTGAGCTTCACAATTTTTCCGCTGGAAGCCTTTCGCGACATCGAACCAGAGTGAACAGTTCGCGACTCCTTCTGCGGCTTGGTTAGCGGTGGTGACGCGCTCTGCTTGTCAGATAGACGATGGTGCCTGGTGTTGCTCGATCGATCTCCAGGTTCCTTGCGAAGCTTCAGTTCTTGATGCGACGTATCTGAAGTGTGCGACCTGTTCTCTTCCAACTTTGCAGAACTAACTGACTTTTGCGAATGACGCGAATGGTGAGAGTGCGAAGTATGATGCGATGAGGATGAGGCATGCGATCTATTTCGCGATCGATCTTGATTTCTCGCATCCAATCTGGCGATCATCGTTGTCAATATCTCCATAGTTCGTTGATGATTCCTCTTCAAGTTATCCCATCGTGCTTCCATATTTGCGCGCGTCAGGACATCCACAGTGAATCGATGGCTCTGATACCAATGTTAGAGACCTCCAGAGTATTCAGAACAATTACAGAAAATCTATCAAGAAACAAAGTAATCTTTATTGAAGAAGATGAACAGTAATCAGTACAAAGGCTGAAGCCCCCAAAGCCGAAGCCCCAAAAGATCGAGATGTTCAGTCTCGTATCCTTCCGAGTCCCAAGACCAAATGTCTAAAAGCCTCCCAATTACTCCCACTTTACATCTATTTATACTAGAGACCCTTATTACTAATATAATTATTATTACTTCTAATATTATTCTAATCTAATAGGTAGGTCCCTATCACGCTGTTACACAACTTTATCAGATGCCCAGTAGCTCAAATCATACTGAGTAATGGTCTCATTTGTTGCGATTGTTTGATCAGCATTACTAATTCTCTCTCTTCTTAGGAGAGGCACTGTTGGTAACATCTGGTCTTGTTGCCTACCTTGGAGACGCATTTGTGTATACTGCTTCTAAGGTAAGTCTCTTAGCTTTGTTCATGGAATATAGTCAGTGTTACTGTGTTACTTTTGTGTGATTGATTATTTAAAATCAGAAAATTTTCTTTTGGCAGACCCATAGATACCTTCCCTTATCAACTACGGTTGAAATACAGTATATATCAAGAAGTGAGACCAGCACCATTATTCAGGTATTTGGCTAGTATCATGATCACCAGTGTAACCTTTTCCTCCGATTCATTCAGAGCAAATGACTAATTGATCGATAATAAAATTATTCTCATTTTGTCCAGGGAATGACGATTGGTCTGCTTCTTCTTCCCATTTTTTCAAATTCTATTCTTCAAGTTTTGGAACACTTGACATTCTTTCTATATCCTGGAGTAAGAGCAGATAGTGGAACCCGGAGATCTTTTGTGTTCTATGTTGCATCGGCAGTATTTTTGGTTGGGGTTGTCCCATCATGGATGGATGTCGTTCAAAATTTTCAGATGCACCCCTTTTTATGGTAGTCCTACTAACTACTCATGTATAAAACTTATTCGGTAGAATGTTTTCATTTCTACAACAAGTAGCTTGACATGAAGTAGAACCGTTTATTACAACGTCTGTTTCTTCAGGGTGTTCAACTTTGTCTTCTCTGAACCGTCAAAGAGTCTCTCATTATGCATATATTGGCTGGTTCTTATATGTGCATCAGTTGTACGGTTTTACAAGATTTCTAAACACAGTAAGCTTGAAAGAATTCTTCTTCGGAAGTATTACCATCTGTTGGCAGTGTTGATGTTTATTCCAGCATTAATATTTCAGGTGATTAAAGTTGATAGTGATTACTTGAAGCTTATTATTCGATAATACTTGTTTTACAATTCACTACTTATTTTCTTTTTGCTGCCACTTCTGTTCAGCCAAGATTTCTTGATCTGGCATTTGGTGTAGCTTTTGCTGTTTTTATGTTGGTAGAAATTATTCGAGTAAGTGCCAAGTACACATATTTACTTTCTCTTTTGTAGAAATGTAGAGGTTAGAATGTTAGATGCATGGAATTGGTTCCCTCCATTTATTAGTGATCTCCAATGTTGTGCACTGCTTGATTTCATGAAGTTGAATACCTATTGGTTTTATGGGCAGGTTTGGAGAGTTTGGCCATTGGGGCAGCTTGTGCACCAATTTATGAATGCTTTTACTGATCACCGTGACTCTGATCTTCTTATTGTGAGGTATGGTGTCCTCTTTATCAAGTTTCCGTTTCTACCCTGGTCTTCTCAATAACTGGTGTTTTTCTTACTTTTTGTCACTATTCAGCCATTTTTCACTGTTACTGGGATGTGCGCTTCCAATCTGGTTGTCTTTTGGCTTCAATGATCGACCACTCGCCCCTTTTGCAGGGATCTTAAGTCTTGGAATTGGGGATACAATGGTAACAAAGCTAACTTTCTACACCCTTTGGTTTTAGTATTGACAGTCAATGTGCGGTGTGACATATTAACTGTCAATATATGGTGCAAAGTCTTCCTATATTGTCCATTCCAAATTTGACAGAGTTAATCAAATACAAGTCAAATGCAAAACTAGGGACAGTAAAAAACATAGAAAAAGGATCTGGCATGCAGAGAATAGAAACATCAAAAGAAAATAAAAAGGACTCAGGTAGTGGATAATATTTCTCCTGGTGATTGTTTAAACATTAATCTATCATGTACTGAAATTTTATTCATCCGGGACCTTGCTCTGGAGTGGTACATACCGAGTTTGTTTGGTCTTATTTAGATACTAATAACAATTTAAAAGGTGTACGCTCGGTGCATGAAGGCGGTCTTATTTAGATACTAATAACAATCTAAAAGGTGTAAGCTCGGTGCATGAAGGCATCCCCACAAGGCGAGGGTCCGGGGAAAGGTCCCACTACACAGGTGTATAAGGGGCAAGCCTTCCCCTGCCAATTTTTTGATAAGAGGCCGCTCCCGGGACTTGAAATCGTGACTCCTTGGTCACCCATCAACACTTTTCATTCCTTCGTTTTGTTTTGACTTTTCCTTTTTGGTTTTTCAAGTTAAGTTTCTTGGTCCTTTAGATTTGGACAAACGAGAATGTGAAAGGCTGACCCCAATATACATCGTATATTGGTGCATACATTGACTGGTTGACCGAAGTGTCAGTGTATCAGTGCCCCTCAAGGACAAGTGCGATGCTTCATCATCATCATCATCATCACCCCATTGCTGTAAAGGCTCCCACCAGCAGTGGGGTAATGGGGGTCGAATGTATGCAGTCTTACCCTTGCACTACAGCACAGAGAGACTGTTTCCGAATGACCCATGGTGAAAATTGCGTCGAAAATTGCTTGAATTGATTGTTACTTCATAACAAAGAAGTGCAGACAGTTTAGTGAGCCATTTTGCTTTATTCCATTGTACTTTTAAGCCAAAAAATAGTGAATCTTTGGCTCCATTGCAAATGATGGAAATGCTTGTGTGAGACAAATGCTTTAACAGTGGTTACTCCATATACAAAATGTTCAAGCATTTGCTGTCATGGCATTGGTATGGACTATGGACTCATCTCTGCACATCCTGTTTAAAGCCTTAAATAAAATTTCAAATAATGCTTGCTTTCAAGGTTTGTACTTTAGTTCACATATAAGCACTTGAGGTTTGTATCTTTAGCAAGTTAGATACTCTATTTATGATATGATGATATATACATCAAATACTCTTTTGAGTCTTCTATAACATACAAAACTTATACCAAGCCGGTGACATTCTAAATAGTAGTGAATCAATAGCTTGTCCCATCCCACATGTGGGGTCTGTATGTTAGGAAATAAACTCACGCACACGAAGAACAATAACGAAGAACACGCGAAATTTGGTAACCCAGTTCGCCACGAATGACTACGTCTGGGGGCGCTACCAAGCCAGGAATGTTATTAATATTTTCAGACCCCCAGATTACAAGGAGAGAGCTTGTATTTATAGAGAAGTAAAACCTAACCCCAAGGCAACTAGGACGCATTTCCAAAAAAAACGTACAACCCAAACTGTACGGAATCCGTATGGCCCAAACTGTACGGAACTGTACGGACTGTACAGAAAACTTGATCGTAAAAAATGGACCAAAAGTGAATTTTAAAAGATTTGAAAGTATGCTTGGTTATATAGTCTCTAACACCTTACACTGTATGGGCTATTCAATGGTCTGCCAGCATAGAATTAAATAGTGTATGCTAAACTTAAAAGTGAAAGTCTTGGAACTCAGATGAGTGTCATGTTTCTTATGCAATGCATATCTAGAATAGAGATAACAAGTTATATAGATTTGAATTAATTCCACTTCTAGTCCCATTGAAATTTTCTTCCTAGTACTACAAGGCTCTTTTTCTTACTAGTGCCAATTAAAGAGTCATTCTTTTACGTAAGGGTTTTTGCTGGCTATGAATGAAAGTGTATATGGTTGTTGAGTGCGCTTGAGAAAGAAATGGGGGTGTTTCACTCACTCAGTTCTGATTGTTCTTGTAGGCTTCATTGGTTGGCCACAAGTATGGAGTTCTACGTTGGAGTAAAACTGGCAGTAAGTCTTCTTCTCCATCATCAGTTGTCTTTGTATTGTACTCATTAATATGCATGCCATATTAATGAGAGCAGTTTATTTATTTATTTTTTAAATTTAGAGAAAACCATTGAAGGAACTGCTGCTGGCATAACTTCTGTTTTAGCTGCATGCTCAGTTCTACTTCCACTACTTGCGACTACGGGCTACCTCTTGTCTAAGGTATATTTTGTCCATTGCTTATGTGAGTTACTTCCATCTCTGACCTTAATGTGAGTGATTGTTTTTATGTGCAGAATTTGTTCTCCCTCATTTTGGCTGTCACGCTTAGTGGTCTATTAGAGGCCTACACAGCTCAACTTGACAATGCCTTCATACCCTTAATGTTCTACAGCCTCTTGTGTCTTTGAGTCCATCTTGAGTTTTAAAGGCATTCAGATCCATTCAACGCACCGAAGCCCTCTCGTTTGCAAATACATCTGACACCTAGATACTAGGACCTGTAACTTTATTTATTTTAGATGGCATTTTTTTGCAGGATTACGGTATAGAATTAGGGGACGTGATTGTAAATAGATATGCAAATGCTAATGCTAATTTGTTTAAAGAGGTATACGCAGGGTGAATTTTTACATTTACATAATCATGAAACATATATGTCTCTGGAGTAAAGTTGCCCGCAGGCTGAGAGAATCGTGAAAACCATGTGAAGTCTGGCAGAAAGAAAAGAGATGGAAAATTACTTCAATAGGAATTAAGTTTTTTTGAAACGTTAAAAATGAAAAGTTGATAACGTACTTTTAGTGGTAAAAAGTGAATGTGATTTCTATTAGGAAAATTCATTAAACATTTGTACATGGTGGATTGTCTGTGCTTGTGTGTGCACAAACAATTCATTAAAAAATGCAAAACAAAAAAGAGTTGTTTTTTCTAGGGGTGGGCGCGGTCCGGAATGGTCCGGTAAACTAGTAAAACCCGTAATGTATCCGCTAGATTTTAAATGGTCCGGTACGGTCCGGTTTCAAGGATGAAACCGTTCGGTACCATGCCGTTTCGGAACGGTACAAAACGGTATGGTACAATGCCAAACATGTGCTAAAAATTTTGAACAAATCTTGCAATTAGTAGATATCTTGACACCAACCAACTTACATGAAATGTTGAAATAAATACAAGAAATTGCATATGTAGTACTAAAGTTCACAAATACACAAATAGTGCAACACAATTAAGAAAAAGTATCACAAAATGATGACGCGCGAGATAGATATCATCTTTAATTTACTAAGTTCATGTGAAAATATAAAAAAGAATATCATCTAATTGCTGAATATAAATAGAAATCTTCAATGTTCTTCTTCTTCATTCTAGGTTAAATATTTCTGGGTAGTTCTGATTTAATTTATAGTTGAAACTTGAGAGCTAAAATTTAAACCATATTAATTAAGTTATAGAATTGCGCAAACATGATACTACAAAAAATCATGTACACTACATTACTGGAAATGAAGTCCTTAATAATTTCTAAAATTTTAATATTTTTTCAATACATATCAAAATATAACATAAATCATCTAAAAAGAAAAAATAACAATATATATATAATCTAATCACACACATTTAGGTAGTTTAGGAACGCATGAATACATACTTGGGCTATAAAATTGTTTATCTATAAAAGAGATCTATTGGTATAGAAAAATTATAAAAAATTCAAATGCATTATTTTCAAACGGTTCGGTCCGGTATTTTTCGGTTCTCAAAATCTAGGACCGGTCCTGTACCCGTTTCAAACGGTTCGGTTTCGGTACGGGACAAAAATCTATAGAACCGTTTAAATACCCGGTATTCAGTTCGGTACCATTACAGAACGGCTCGGTACCGATCCGGTTCGGGTTTTATGCCCACCCCTAGTTTTTTCAAAACCGTCTATATTTCGTGTAAAAAGCGGTGGGTACATGCCCCGATGTGTACAGTTGTACACATAGAATGATTTTTTCACTGAAGAGAATAGAATTAACAATCATGCTTGTTGTACCCACCATTTTGTACCCACCTTATACCCACCTCTGTGAAGGCTATTTTTTGTCTGTGAAGCCGGTTCACAGACAAAATATGTCTTTGAATTCCTTCATAGACATCTTTTGTCTGTGAAGGAATTCACAGACAAAAAAAATAACTTCACAAACATGGGTGGGTACAAAAATGGGTATAAAAGTGGGTACAAACATCATTGGGGTAGAATTAAGGAGTGTTTGCAGTTGATTAAAAAAAGCACTTTTCAGCTTTTGGCTTAAAAAAAGTTAAAAAGAGTGTTTTCAAATGACAGATTCTGCTTAAATTAATCACTTAAAAGCTAAAAGCTCGAAGCAGGTGGAAGGGTGCTTTAAACTGCTTTTCACTTTTTCTATTACACAAAAAGTACTTATTTTACCAAACACTACCAACTTTTACTTTTTCAGAATCACTTTTTCCTCAAACACTACCAACTTTTACTATTAATCACTTTTCCCCAAATCGCTTTAAAAAATTACTTTTTTTAAAGTTGAAGCAATTGCAAAGACTCCCTTAACTTACCATGCCACTGCCATTATAACAAAATTAACTGTCTAAGTGTCTATGACCGCATCGAGTGCTTATGAGTCATCGGGGTTGGTCAGCCAACGGGAGTCGATGTCTTATGAGCGACTGAACATAGGTCGTTTGTGGTTAGTGCATGAGCGAAGTTGTGGTAATTATTGGGTTGAGCATCGGGGTCAACTGTATATAAGAAAATATTGTACCCCTCTATCCATACTAAAAGTACTCCATAACACTTTGAATTACACACAATTTAAAAAAATGACACATGTTGGTATTTTTTTGACACCATTTTGACATTGTTTTTATTACATTTTTTTTTCAAAAAAGGAAATGGAACTTTTTTTAGGGACAAAGTAGTACTACCTCCATTCTTAAATAAGTGCGACATTGCAAATTTTACATTATTCACATGTTCTACTTTGACTACATTTTATTTAGGGAAATTTACCTAGGTATTACCAAAAGTAGGTAGAATTCCCAAACTATGACTTGAGTTGTTTTTATTCGGTCGTACGACCAAAATGAGGGGTAAAAAACGGTCAGGGAAATTCCGTATTATTAGTAAAGTACGAAAATACCCCATTAATTATTAAGAAATACATGTGCATTGACGAAACGAGAAATAAAAAAGGAAACACTCAATTACTGTAGTAGATTGCGGACAGGGGAAGACGGAGGAAATTTCGGCGGAGCGCATTTTTCCAGAATTTGAGAGGAGTTAATCGTTAAACCTACAATGCAATAATGAAAAGAGATGAAGCAAAATACTATCCTCCGTATCATAATAGTTGCAACATTAGAATTTACGCACTATTCGTGTACTCTACTTTGACTACATTTTATTTATTAATGTATGCGAATTATTTTTTAAAAAAACTTTTGTTGAATTCGTCTCATTACAAAGTTTCATAATCTGATTTTTAAAAGTTTTTTACTAATACAAAATTAAATATAATGACGGTCAAAGTTGTGCATTGGCAAACGTGAAAAGGGGAATGTTGCAACTAAAAAAGAACGGAGGAAGTAGTAAAGAACGAGCGGCGGCTGTTCGAATCGACACAGCAGACGAACGAAGCCGATACATGGTGAGGAAAAAGGCTAAATCGCGGGCAAACACGGGTTCATTGGAGTATGAAATCATCACAATCAATGGCGTGGTGAGTTTTTCCCCTTTTTTGTTGTTGGCGAAGTAATTTTGTCCTGAGAAATATGAAATAGGGGTTGTAATTGTAGAAATTGCAAGGCCGTAATTGTGATGATGTGTTGGGTATGCGTATTATCTGCGACAGCTAGCGGGATGGGGTTTGAGGGTTTGAACGAAGTGTTGGGAAAAATATGATTTTCACTGCACATTTTCAAAGCTTTGGTTCATGAAATTAGGAATTTGGCGAATTAAATGTGTGCATTGGACTGGTAGATTATTGCAAGTTTTATGCGTTTTAGTGTTGAATATTGCACGGAGTATGCATTTTTTAGGGGTTTAAGTCAGTGTTTGGAAAATAAGTCCTTGACTGCTCATATGCAAAGTCTAGTTCGTCAAAAATACTCTTTGAAAGCATTATATTAATGCATTGAACTGTGGTAGATTATTGCATGTATTATGCGTTACAGACTTATAGTGTGGTTGATTATTGCACATATTATGTGTTTTTGAGTGATTAATTTGCGATGTATGCAAAACAACATAACTATTTTTTGGGTAACCAAACTTAAGGTGTTGTTATAGAACCTAGTGTACGTTCATGTTCTATTAATTGGAACGTGCAATAAGAATAGATGCATCGCGTTGACTTAATATGCAGCTTTATTGATGTTAATTTATTTGAAGTACTTGCTGTAGTGACATTATTGGAAGTGGTTATCTATATTTATGTATTGTAACAGACATGTAAGTGCTTCTGTAATGCGGAAAATATGGAGGGAATGAAGAAACAAGAGCTAGCTTTGATAACTGGATTTGAGTTTGGCACGAAGGAACCTAGGGACATGTGACCTCATAGGAAGAAGATGGTCACTGAGATCTTGCATCACACTGGACTTGTTAATTTTTAAGGCATGGAATGAGTCTTTTAATTTAAAGAAATATGTAATGCAGTGACATTTGGTTTGGGGGTATGCTTTATTTTGATTAAACTTAAGTATGGATTTATTATGAATTAATTGGTGGATTAAACATAAGATTGATCTTGAAGTAATGACTGTTTTGCCTAGAAAAGTATAGTTAATATGCACGGCCTATTTTGTTTGTACAAAGTTTTGGGTATGAAAATGAAGCCATTGATGCTTCATTACAAGGGTTGATGACCTATTATTTACGGCAATGATATAATGCAATATAAGAGCATCTTCAATGGTACAATGTGCACGGTGCACACGTGGCATGAGAGATGACCACATAAATATTAGTAAATAAATTATTTCTCTCCTTATTTGAATGATTTTATACAGTTTTGGTAAGTTATTCTCCACAATGTCAAGGAGACCGTCTAATGTTGACATTGTTGTTGACATTGCAGGGGAAAACTTACTAAAATTATATAAAATCATTCAAATAAGGAGAGAAATAATTTATTTGCTAATAATTATGTGGCTATCACTCATGACACATGTGCACTGTGAACATTATAGCATTGAAGATGCTCTAATATGGTACGACAACAAATTAATGCACATATTTGCGGCATGTTCTACCAAATAATGTGAAGGAAAAAACAGACAAACATTAATTTAGTGAAAACAATTACTTTTTGTAATGCTAATAGCCTAATAGTGATCTTTCAATATTATGCATGTCTCAAAAACATTTTAAGGATCATCAATGGTTGAATGAATACGTAAACACGTAAGAGAGAGATGACGTTTATAATTATGGTCATCAATGTAGATGCATGCATACTGCGATTTGTAAAAAAACACGAGAAAAAATAATGGTCATCAATTCAAACACACAGATAATTACAAAAACATGTGTATGATTTGTTAAAGGAAGACAAATGTTAAGAGTGATTTTTGTTGACCCGGTAAAAAGTGTCTGAGACAATCTTAGCAGGACAGAGAGAGTAATTCTTTTTCTTATGTTTAATAGTTTT